TGAATGTGCTAGTTTCCTCTTTTTGTAAAGCCACCAGTCTCACTTCCATAACTTCTTAATTCATTAAATCACTAATCTATCAATAAATGAATGAATTAGTCCTTTTATGAAGGGAGAGTCCTCATGACCCAGTCACCTCTTTAAGGTAATACCTCATGATGCTGCTACATTGGGGATTACATTTCAATATGAGTTCTAAAGGGAAAAATTATTGAAGCCGTAGAAGTTTCCATTTTTCCACTTATGTTACCTATATTCCGTGCATGTTACTTACTTTCTCAATTAGAGCCCATCACAAATTTCATTGGAAACTTCCAACATCTGTGTCATATCTTTGTCTGGTTCTGATGCTAGATGTGTTTCTTCAGACTGTGGTTTTTTTTTCCCCCTTTACTATGCTTGCAATTTTTTTTTTCTATGTTGAAAACTGGGCAGGTTAAATCAGGTAATAGGAGAGATAAATAGGAATTTAATATGAAAATTTAGATTATAAGAGTTAGGCTGTATCTAACATTTGCTGTATCTGTTTATGTAAAAGGTTTAGATTTCTTAAGTATATTTCCTTCTGTCTTACTTCCTGAGCTTGGGCTTCCCTAAATACTCCTCCTCAAAGAGAGTCTGTGTCTTGCAGATGGCTTATCTGTACTTTCCTTTTACTATACTGAAGCCCTGTTGCTATGGAGGTATGTGGTGAAAGGTGTAGCATTCTATAATCTTATAACTAAGTCCCAGTACTTTAGTGGGTCTGAGTCTTTTTTCTGTGACCTCCACATGTGTTTCTTAGTGGTATAATTCTTCTCACCTTCTTACCCAACCTTATGACTCAGGGAGGTTAGAAATACTTAAAGGATAGGCCGGGTGCGGTGGCTCAAGCCTGTAATCCCAGCACTTTGGGAGGCCGAGGCGGGTGGATCACGAGGTCAGGAGATCGAGACCATCCCTGGCTAACATGGTGAAACCCCGTCTCTACTAAAAATACAAAAAACTAGCCGGGCGTGGTGGCGGGCGCCTGTAGTCCCAGCTACTCGGAGGCTGAGGCAGGAGAATGGCGTGAACCCAGGAGGCAGAGCTTGCAGTGAGCCGAGATCGTGCCACTGCACCCCAGCCTGGGCGACACAGCGAGACTCCGTCTCAAAAAAAAAAAAAAAAGAAATACTTAAAGGATGAGGAATGTCTTTCCTCAAAGGGATAGAGTTCTTGTATATTCTTTTCCCTTAGAGAGTAAGCCTTTGTAGTTCAAAATACTCAATGTACGTTTTACAATGATAATCTTTCCCTCCTTCTGCCAGAGCCATAAGGGGATCTTTGTAGGATTTCCACCTTGACAATCTGGTGGTGATCCTACAAATAGAATTCAAAAAGTGTTAAGGTTTCTCTAAGACTGTGGTCCCCTGGAGTTTCTCAGAGTCAGGCTAGTTGGTATACACTTGACCTCTGGAAATTTGTCAAAATTATCATATATATGTTCCTGCCTGTTTATGATATCAGTGGCTTCTGCTCCAGGTAAATATATCTCATCTGTGACTCTGTTATACATTCACCTCTCCAGATTTTGGAGTGATGTTTGTCCTGTAACCTTAGATCTCTAATGGGTAAAAGAAAGTGGTTGATTTACAGTTTGCCAAGCTTTTTCTTATTATGTGTACGTAAGTGATTACTTCCACTGTCTTTGTACGTTGGAGGCAAAACTGGCAGTTCCTCTTCATTATTTTTTTAATTCTTATTCTCTCATCATCATCATTTTTTCTCTCTCTGAGAATGTAACAAAACTTATTAAAAATTTGTATCTAGAAATGTTACATAATGTTTATGGTTTTAGGTCTTTTTTATTCATCTTACTGGACATACAGAAATCATATTTAATCTGATTTTTGTTTACCATTTAGCTGTGTAAAATGTTCCAACACTATGTTTTTGAGTATATTTTTCTTCATTCTCCCTCTTCTAATGTTTTGGAGCCCTTATTGAAGGAGTAAAGATAATTTAAAATATTCCCCTCTCTTATTTTTTGTGACTTGTAGATGCTACTTATTTAGTGTAGCCTGATGACAGAACTTCTGGAAAACAGACACATTGTCTAGACAGGGCAAAGTAGGTCTCCAGCTTTTCTGGTTCCAGTGGAGCCTCTGCTTCTCTTGGTGTTCATAACTTAAATGAACCTAGCCCTGCTTCCATAGCCCAAATATGTGCAGGTCAAACACCTCTTCTTTGAACCTATCTGAAGGCTCTAGTATTTTCCATTTGTTTTCTCCTGAATTGGTTTCACATTATGGCTTTCTTTCTTGGCCATTAATTGTCTGCCTGTCTTCAGGTATTCATTATATTCTGATGTTCTGATGGGAATTCCTTTATCTTCCAGTGATATTCTTTTTTTTCTTTAAACATTTATTTTAGGCTCAAGGGATACATACACAGGTTTGTTACATGGGTAAATTATGTGTCTTAAGGGCTTGGTGTACAGATAATTTTGTCACCCATGTAATCAGCATAATATCCAATAGGTAGTTTTTCAATCCTTTCCCTCCTCCCACTCTCCACACTCAAATAGGCCCCGACGTCTATTGTTTCCTTCCTTGTGTCAATGGCGTTCTAAATCTTTACTTTTTAAAGATTAAATTAGTTTTACTCAATTTTTACCTACAAATTTAAAAGGCAGATACTTGTAGAAGTCTTTTTTTTTAAGATAGCATAGTAAAACTATGCAGCGAAATAGCTTTAGAGGCTTGCATTAACTGTTTGTTTAATCCGTCTTGTTGTTTATTGATAAAATACTTTGCAATATACAAAAACAATGACCAAGAAGCGTGCCATTTATGAACCTAAACATTATTTCTCATTACTCCTGGGATCTTTGTGACAAATTATGCTAAACTTATTAGCCACCTCAGAGAAACTTGATACTTTGTGGTATCTACACTTACTAGGGCTGGAGAGCACTCTTCCTGAGGTGCCAATACTGAATTTATCACAGCTAAATCACAATGTGTCAGTTGTATCATGATAATGAATTTCTTTATCTATAATGTATTCTTGACCCAGACAATTAATTAGTCAATCAGCAATGTTTCTTGACCCCTAAGTATAAGGAAGATTAATTCTACTCTGCATAGTGGGAAATTAGTAGTAGATTTTCTTTCAAGTAGCAATGTACTCCAATTGTTTGGCAAATTATGCTCAGATGATAAGTTTAAGTTGAGGAAAGGATATTCCTCTTCTGAAATCCTATGTCTGTGTGAACAATTCATTGAATTTACAGAGGGAACGTAGCCAAAACATTTAAAACTGTTGCAGCATAAGAACCAGCCAATCAAAACAAGTGCCTCTGATGCACCATACACAGGCAGAAACGTGGCTAAATATCACTCATGTTTAGCAACAAAAGGAAAAAAAGTCAGACGTGTATAGATAATGGGGACGGTAATAGTGTTTCAGTATCTACTCAGGTACACACAATTTGCAGGCATTGGAAAAAAACCTAAACCTACCTATGTAACTAACTGAAAAGACAAATATTGCTTTTTCTCAAACTTCCCAAACTCTTGAAAATAAAATTCATCCAAAAATATTTATTGACCACTGTCTACTTTTGTAATGTGTCAAACACCGTGAAATATGCTTATAAGAGAATTCTAAATAGACTGTGTAGTAGTTTTCTGAGAGCTAACATTCTCTTAGATGGAGATAGGTTAGGTAAATTTATAAAATAAAAAAATTATCAGATTGTATTAAATTCCATTAAAAAATTAAACAAAGTGATGTGATCTTGCAGAAATAATTTTAAGATAAGTGTCCAGTAAAGTCACTTGCAAGTGAGAATTGAGTAGTCACCATCTGAAGTTCTGTACGTTTATTAAGCAATGTAATTCTCATATAAATCCAGTGAGCCAAGCAATATTTTTATTTCCACCTTTCAAATGATGGAACAGAGGCACAAAAATGTCAAGTAATGTGCCCCAAGTCAGGGCACTCAGATCTTAGGTCTATGACCTTTATCAGTATAACACAGTGCATCTCCTGATGAGAACTCATGAAAGTCTGAAATGATGAGACAGTTGGCCACCTGGCCACCTGAAAACATAATAGAATAAGTTTCTATTTAGAGATGACAATTCTTACAAAGCTAAAGGAAGACATGGACGACGAGTTGAAGTTAGAAAAGGGTCCTGGCCCAAACCATGGAGAGCTTGCAGGTGATATTTAAAATATATATATATACACACACATATATATAAAATTTACGTTTACATGTATATGTATTTATATATGTAAATATATATGACCAGATACTATGTTTTAAGAATCGTTTGAAAAGTGATAAATAACTTCAAAATAAAGATCATTACTGCAATTTATCTAAGCAAAGAGATCCTTAAATCATAAAAACTTATCATATTACCATACGAAAGTAGTGACTATTACACAGCAAATGAGATACTCTTCTTCTAAAGCAGTAAAAATATTGTTTATAATAATAGCTAACATTTTTGAGTGCTTACTCCATGCCAAGCACTGCTCTGCTAGATGTTCTATAAGAAATATCTCACTTAATTCCATAAAACACCAGGAAGCAATACAATAATTTACAGAACAATATCTAATTTTGTCTCGACTAAAAGCCTCTATTGTAGTACTTTTTGTCCCTTGACAGTAGTGATTTTTATGTAGAAAAAGTTCTGCTACTTTGATTCCTGTTCAGAAGTTTAAAATTATTTTTAAAATAAAAATATTACTTGTGTTACATATACCGAATAGAAAAACAGAATTCCTGATATGACTTGAGATAGTGAGTTTTATGGATTGCAATTTTGTTAAGAAAAAAATTAGATGCATCACCTTTAGCCCATATCATCACCGTTTTATTTCAACATTGTTAATTATTTATATAAGAAGAGGACATCTGCTTTTGATTGGAAAACCTATCCTAAGCCTTTCTCATGTTTAGATTTTGACACTGGTTGTTCCTTATCTCTTTTTCTCATTTTTTCATCTATATAACTTACTGATCATTGCATCAGGTGATCTTGTAAGGAAGCAGGAGGCAGGACAGGGAATTTTATCACAGACCGTTGCTTCCCCATGCAAGATCCACTCTCTCAGGAAGACATGCTGAGAAAAATATAATTCATTTTCCTGGCAAACCTCTGGCCTCTGAGAAACCCATGAGACGACTGAAGCCTACTTCTGTGAGGCAGTCAGGGAGCAGTTGCCTCATAAAGCAGATGGTGGTCAGCTTGATTATGAAACAAGAAACTAAGGTGACAAATTCCAGTGATGTTTTACACTTACCTGTATCTGACTTTGCTCTTGGACAGTCAATACCAATCTTGCCTGTTCCATTTTAGAAATCAGTGGAACTACTCTAGTCAGTTGTACAGGTGGCCTCAGGTGAAAACTCAGGGCAGGACAAAAATTCAGGAGATGAGAACTGTGGAAAACAGATGACAATGGATAAGTTACAGTCATTCTTTCATCCATCATCCTTCTATAAATGCCTGGTGAGTGGACTATGACTTAGCCAGCACTTCCTCCCAATGCATCTCCAGAGGTTTTGAAGTTGAAGCCCTAAGCTTTGGAAAGGCATAAGTTCTTAAATTTTATTAAGTACTATTACTGCTTTTTCTTTTATTATATTTTAATGTCATATCTAAGAAATCATTAACTAATGCTAAATCACACACATGATTAATGCTAAATCATGCTAAATCCTGCTATGTTACCTTCTAGAAATTTTATAGTGTTAGGTTTTACACTTAGGTCTATAATGCACTTTGAGTTATTTATATGATGTGACTTATGAATTGATTTTTTTTTTGGCATATGGATGCTAACTTGTTCTGACAACATATTACAAAAAAACTATTCTTTCTTCATTGACTAGGCTTTGCATCATTGTGAATAATTAATTGACCACATATCAATGTATCTGTTCTGATTTTTTATTTTGATCTTAATGTATTTGCTTATTATTAGACCAATACCATCCTGTCTTTATTAACTAGTGCTATCTATACTATGTTTTGAAGTAGGAGACTGAAACTTCAGTAACATTTTTTGTGAAAGTTGTTTTGCCTATTCTAAATTATTTGCACTTGTATATAGTCTGATTTACACAGGTTTTTTTTTATTCAAATTTCCTTTTATACCCAAGTTTATTTAAAATATTGTTGGTTTTAAGTTTAGTGTCCTGTAATTTGTGATTTTACCATCTACACTTTGTTCCTTTTTCTTATTTTTCAATACATTGACTAAGTTTCTTCCTAGTATATTTTTATTGTTGGCTTTATATGTCTTGTTTTTAATGGTTGCTTTCAAGTTTATACATCTTTCATTTATCTAATTACCTATTTACCTTCAGGCGCTATTATACGATTTCACATATAAGAATCTCTAAACATTATACTTTATTTCTCACTTACCAGAATTCATGCTATCCTTGACAGACACTTTAATTCATATGTATTATATATACCCTATATATAATATACCCTATATATTATATATATCATGTATACCCAATTAATTTATATATATTATATATACCCATATCTTTTAAAATATAATTTTCAATTTAAGACAAGTTAATACAAAATATATTTGGGTATATATAATATATATAAATTAAAATGTCTGTCAACTATAGCAGAAAATAGACCATCCTGCCTAACATGGTGAAACCCCGTCTCTACTAAAAATACAAAAAAAAAAAAGAAAATTATCTTTTAAAAATAATTAAATAAAAAGTAAAATATCTTTGTTTCTAAAATTTACTTATATTTTCCATTTTTGTCATTCTTCCTTTCTCTGTGTAGATGTAGGTTTCTCACATTTGAATAGGGCCTTTCTCAATATTTATTGTATTACAGGTCTGCTAAGGTTAAAATCTTTTATTTATTTATTTTTTTTTGGGGATGGAGTTTTGCTCTGTGGCCAGGGCTGGAGTGCAGTGGCGCCATCTTGGCTCACTGCAAGCTCCGCCTCCCGGGTTCCCGCCATTCTCCTGCCTCAGCCTCCCAAGTAGCTGGGACTACAGGCGCCCGCCACCTCGCCCGGCTAATTTTTTTTTGTATTTTTAGTAGAGACCGGGTTTCACTGTGTTATCCAGGATGGTCTCGATCTCCTGACCTCTTAATCTGCCCCCCTCGGCCTTCCAAAGTGCTGGGATTACAGGCCTGAGCCACCGCACCAGACCAAAATCTTTTATTTTTAAATGTTTTGAGCCAAGATGGCCACCTAGACCTAGCCAGGAAAAGCTTCTTCCACCTAGAGGGACTAGATCATTAATTAGACTGGCATATTTCAAAGATATCTTCAGAAAGAAAGCACTGAAAAGGGACAGGGGAAGAACGCAGACTCTCGGTTGGAAGGGGATCAATCTAAGAACCCTGCATGACGTTGTCAAGCCCAAGGACTAGTTCCTCACCTCAGCGGCTCCTGGGGAATGGGTGAGTGGAATAGATACGGTTCACTCTGCCACAGACCTCTGGTAACCTGGGTACAGGAGACTCCATTGAGAGGTGACAATGTGCTAGCAGCCCTCACTCTCAGCGCCTCCTCAGCCTCCGGCCTCAGCGTCCACTCTGGCGGCGCTTGAGGAGCCCTTCAGCCCGCCACTGCACCGTGGGAGCTCCTTTCTGGGCTGGCTGAGGCCGGAGCCTCCTCCCTCTGCTTGCTGGGAGGTGTGGAGGGAGAGGCGCGGGCGGGAACCTGGGCTGCGCGCTCCGCTCGCGGGCCAGTGTGAGTTCCCTCGGCCGCGGGATTGGCGGGCCTGGCACACGGTGCGGCAGGCCGGCGCCGGCCCAGGGCGGTGAGGGGCTTAGCACCCGGGCCAGCCGCTGCGGAGGTTGCGCCGGGTCCCCCAGCAGTGCCGGCCCGCGGGCGCCGCACTCAAATTCTCGCGGGCCCTAGCTGCCTCCAGGCGGGACAGGACTCGGGACCTGCAGCGCGCCACGTCTGAGCTCCTCCCCCTGCGTGGGCTCCCCCGCGGCCTGAGCCTCTCCGACGGCACCGCCTTCTGCTCCTTGGCGCCTGTTTCCATCCACAGCCCAAGGGCTGAAGAGTGCAGGCGGGGCTCAGGGCTGGCAGGCAGCTCTGCCTGCAGCCCTGGTGCAGGATCCATTGGGAGAAGCCAGCTGGGCTGCTGAACTGGATGGGGACTTGGAGAACTTTTATATCTAGCGGGAGGATCGCATGTGCCCCAATCAGCACTCTGTGTCTAGCTCAGGGTTTGTAAATACACCAGTCAGCACTCTATGTCTAACTCAAGGTTTGTAAATACACCAATTGGTACTCTGTATGTAGCTAACCTAGTGGAGACTTGGAGGACTAGCACTCTGTGACTCTGTGTCTAGCTCACGGATTGTAAATGCACCAATCAGCACTCTGTGTCTAGCTCAGGGTTTGTAAATACACCAATCAGCACTCTGTGTCTAGCTCAGGGTTTGTGAATACACCAATTGGTACTCTGTATCTAGCTAACCTAGTGGAGACTTGGAGGACTAGCATTCTGTGACTCTGTGTCTAGCTCAAGTTTTGTAAATACACCAATCAGTACTCTGTGTCTAGCTCAAGGTTTGTAAACGCACCAATTGGTACTCTCTATCTAGCTAACTCTGTATCTAGCTAACTAGCACTCTGTGACTCTGTGTCTAGCTCAAGGATTTTAAACGTACCAATCAGCACTCTGTCAAAACGGACCAGTCAGTTCTCTGTAAAATCAACAGGATGTGGGTGGGGCCAGACAAGGGAATAAAAGCAGGCTGCCAGAGCCAGCACTGGCAACCCGCATGGGTCTCCTTCCACAGTGTAGAAGCTTTGTTCTTTCGCTCTTTGTAATAAATCTTGTTGCTGCTCACTCTTTGGGTCCACGCTGCCTTTAAGAGCTGTAACACTGACCACGAAGGTCTGCAGCTTCACTCCTTACAGCAAGACCATGAACCCACCAGAAGGAAGAAGCTCCAGACACATCTGAACGTCTGAAGGAACAAACTCTGGACACACCATCTTTAAGAACTGTAACACTCACCGTGAGGGTCCCCGGCTTCATTCTTGAAGTCAGTGAGACCAAGAACCCACGAATTCCAGACACACCATGACCACCATGGAAATTTCAGCAGACAGGGGAAACTACCTAGAGAGTTGGCAGAGACAGAACCCCAGCCTTCATGGAGGCCATAGGACTTGGCCTGGGAATAGCTGTAGTGGAGCATGGCCAGAAGGCTTGCCATAATCCTCTAGGTGACTTTTGCCTTTACTAGCTGTCTGACCAAAACAGAGCAGGGCTGTCTTTCCTATTGGATGGACCCAGGCTGATTTGAGCACCCTTTTACCCTTTGACTGGCTGGCTTTTCCCAGGGTTCCTGCGTGTCCACACCTGCTCCCAGCACAGCCTCAACTGCCAGCTGAGGTGCTTGCTGGTGGCCCCCACTGGCAACCACATGTCCACAGCTCTTGCACTACCAGTATGCACTTGCCTGCAGCCTCCCATCTACTGCTTCACCATCACTCTCACATGCAGAAGGAGCCTGCTTCTCCCTGTTGCTGCTGGCATATATGAACACAGGGACTCCCTACTGCCCACTGCCTCTCCACCAAAGTGCTTTTTGCCAGAACCCTTCATCAGAATGTTGTTGCCAGTGGACTGGGAACAGTTCAGTCCCCCAAGTACAGCATGTACTTAACTTTAAGAGGACAGAGGGGAAAAAGCTATGGGCGTGGACCTGCCCCCAGGATAAAGCACACAGCCTGGGAGTGCTGAGCTAAGCCTTGGCTCCCTGAAATTATTCAGAAATGAAACCAACTGACTAAATCCAAATTAGACCACAGTAAAATCCTCAAGAGAATCAAAGAATATAAAAGCAAAATGTTCCATTCAAAAGACAGCAACTTCAAAGATTAAAGTAACATTAACCCCTACATATGAGAAAGAACCATGGAAGATATCTGGCAATTCTAAAAACCAGAGTATCTTCTTACCTCCAAACAATTGCAGTAGCTCTTCAGCAATGACTCGTAACCAAAATGAAAAGGCTGATGTCTGGATGGCAATGAAGATCATCAAGATTATGAGAAAGTTGAAAACCAATGTAAATAATCTAAGGAATTCGATAGGACGATACAAGAGCTGAAAAATGAAATAGTCATTTTAAGATAGAACCAAAGTAATCCTCTAGAGCTGAAAAATTCACTATGAGAATTTTGTAATACTATCAGAATTATTAGCACCAGAAGGGACCAAGCTGAGAACAGAATCTAAGAGCTCAAAGACTGGTTATTCAAATGAACTCAGTTAGACAAAAAATACAGAAAAAATAATTTTCATTATTAACAAAACTTCTGAAAAATATGAGATTATGTAAAGAGATCAAATCTGTGACTGATTTGTGTCCCAGAAAGAGAAGGGGAAGAGCAAGACACTTGGCAAATATATTGAGAATATTGTCCATGAAAATTTTCCCAATATTGCTAGAGAAGTCAAGATGAAACTATGGGAAATTCAAAGAAATCCAGTGAGATGCTGTATAGGATGACCATCCCTAAGACACATAGTCATCAGATTCTCCAAAGTCAATGTGTAAGAAAATACATTAAAGACAGCTACTAGAGAAGAGGAACAGGCCACATTTAAAGGAAACCCCATCAGGCTAACAGCAGAACTTTCATTCAGCTGAAACCTTTTTTTTTTTTTTTTTTTTGAGATGAAGCCTTGCTCTCTTGCCCAGGCTGGAGTGCAGTGGCGTGATCTCAGCTCACTGCAATGTCCACCTCCAGGGTTCAAGCAATTCTCCTGTGTCAGCCTCGTGAGTAGCTGGGACTGACTACAGGCATGTGCCACCGTGCCCAGCTAATTTTTGTATTTTTAGTAGAGATGGAGTTTCACCAAGTTGGCCAGGCTGGTCTCAAACTCCTGACCTCAAGTGATCCACCCACTTTGACCTCCCAAAGTGCTGGAATTAAAGACATGAGCCACTGTGTCTGGCCCAGCTGAAACCTTTTAAGCCAGAAGAGATTCGGAGCTTATATTCAGTATCCTTAAAGAAAAGAAATTCCCACTAAGAATTTTATATCCAGCCAAACTAAGCTTCATAAATGAAGCAGAAATAAAATCTTTTTAGACAATAAAATGCTAAGGGAATTTATTACCACCAGACTGCCTTACAAGAGGTAATTGAGGGAATGCTAAACATTAAAACAGAAGAATGTAACCAGCCACCATGAAAACATGCTTAATACATAGCACACTGACAGTATAAAGTAACAATCAAGTGTCCATAATAACCAGCTAACAACACAATGACATGATCAAATCCTCACATGTAAATATTAACCTTGAACATAAAGGAGCTAAACACCTCACTTAAAAGACACGGAGTAGCAATTTGGATAAAGAAGCAAGTTAAAACTGTATGATGTCTTCAAAAGACCCATCTCACATGCAATTTCACCTATAGGCTCAAAGTAAAGGAGTGAAGAAAGATCTATTTATCTAATGCAAAACAAAGAGAAAAGTGGTTGCTGATACATTTGGGATATATGTTTCCACTCAAACCTCATGTTGAACTGGAATCCCTGATGTTGGAGATGGGGCCTGCTGGGAGGTGATTGGATCATGGGGCAGATTTCTCATGAATGATTTGGCACCATCTCATTGGTGGTGTCCTCAAGATAGTAAGTGAGATATTATGAGATCCGGCAATTTAAAAGTGTGTGGCACCTCCCCTTACCTTTGCTCCTGCTCTGGCCATATGAGATGCCTGATTTCCCTTCACCTCCTGCCATGATTGTAATTTTCCTGAGACCTCCCCAGAAGCTGAGCAGGTGCCAGCATCATCCTTTCTCTATAGCCTGCAGAAACATAAGCCAATTTAATTTTTTTTTTTTTTTTAATATAGAGTCTCACTGTGTTATGCAGGCTGCAGTGCAGTGGCATGATAACAGTTCACTGCAGCCTTGACTTCCCAGGAGCAAGTGATCCTCCCATCTCAGCCTCCTGAGTAGCTGGGACAACAGATGCATGTTACCACTTTTCATCTATTTTTGTATTTTTTGTAGAGAAGGGGTTTTGTCATGTTGCCTAGGCTGGTCTTGAACTCCTGGGCTCAAGTGATCCTGCCCTAGCCTCCCAAAGTGCTGGGATTACTGGCATAGGACCCCATACCTCACCTCTCTTTTCTTTATAAATTACCCAGTCACAGGATTTTTTTTATAACAATGTGATAACAGCCTAGTACAGATTGTAATTCTTATTTTGGACTAAACATACTTTAAACCAACCAGTACCAGAAAGTAAAAGATAGTCATTACATAATGCTAAGGAGTTCCATTTAATAATACTTACCTATCCAAAATATGTATGCACCCAACACTTTAGCACCCAGATTCAACTTTTTAGAGATGTACAAAGAGGCTTAGATAACCACACAATAGTAGTGAGAGACTTCAACACCCCATTGACAATGTTAGATCATTGAGGCAGAAACCTAACAAAGATATTAAAAATGTGCAGCCAACACTTGACCAAATGGACCTAATAGGCATCTATGGAACTGCACACACTAGCAACACAGTA